ACTGGAGCATCCATGGCTGTGGTAGGGAGGGCCCTGCTTTTCATCTTCCCTGAGCCCCACACTCTCTGAGGCTTGGTGCGAAGTTCCTTTGGGTGCTGCAGGAGTGACTGCTAGATCATCAGGTCAAACATTGCTGTTTAAGCTAGCATCTGCACAGCAAGTATTGCTGTTCTCACCAGATGCTACAGGTCTATAAGGAGAACTTGGAGGTGGATTGTAACACAAAACCCTCAGGTCCATGGAGGCCTGAGGGAGTGACGTGGTGCTTTTTCCTCGAGGATCTGTGAGCAGGAGGGATTTCTAGGACTTTCTTGGAAGTTGGGAAGGAGAACATTTAAACTTGTGGGGATGGATTGAAAATATAGAAAGAGCCGGGTGGTGGTGGCACACCCCTTTATCCCAGCACTCGGGAGGCAGAGCCAGGTGAATCTATGTGAGTTCGAGGCCAGCCTGGGTGAGTTCCAGAAGAGGTGCAAAGCTACACCTGTCTTGAAAAGTCAAAAAAAAAAAATAGAAAATATAGAAAGGAGCTGAAGAAGGGGGAGAAGGAAGGACAGGTGAAGAATATGGAAATAGACAGTGAGGTGATTGGAAGGCCCTGGATGACATGGCATCCCGCAGAATCCCCATCCATGCTGCAGCGTGGACCATGAGATGAAGGTGAACAGACAGGGTCCCCACAGGAAGCTGCTCTCCAGCATCAATAGAGCCGCCAAGTGTGGAGCAGTAGCAGGCTTCAGTCCTGATCCTAGAACCCCTGAGACAGAACGCAGGACCTGATTTAGTGAATAATCTGTATAGTCCTGTGGGTTACAGTTTTCTATTAAGCTATCTGTGCTGCTAATAATTTAGCTGAAAGACATGTTAGATACAGCATTTGAGGAAAATGGAGTATCCATCTCAGGGGGTAATGACACTGTGAAACCTATATTATTTCTGCTGCAGAGCACAATTTTAAGCCTGTGCTAATAGATTAAGCTGCTAGAGTGATCATTTTGAACAAAGAGAATGGTTAGAGCTGTACAGCCAACCTTTGTCTGCCTCGGGTGGCTAAGGAGCAATAATTCTATCCTATCAATCTGTGACATGTGATACCATTAGTCACTGCCACGCTGCGCCAGCTGAGGAAGAGCTCTAGACTCATTCATACAGACCAGGTCCAGCTTTTGCTACTTGTGAACTGCTCGACCTTAGAGGTCCCTGGACCCCCAGGAGCTTCATGATCCCATTAGTGAAGAGGGAACAGATAGTATGTATGAGCAGTTGGGGTGAGGCTTGGGAGAGTATTCAGTAAACCGCAGACACTGGCAGCTGTTAACTTCTCTGGGAGCAGGGCAGGAAGTGCATGGCTTATAGCAGTGGCAGAAAAGCCAGTAGATCAGGTGACTCTTAGAATGCTTGTGGAGCACACACCGAGAAAGGCTCACGAGCCCCTTTTGTAAAGCATTCCTTTTCCCCTGGCTCATTATGGAGCTGAGTGTGTGGGGCAGGTACACCAACAGGCAGCAGGTGAACTCAGGGAGCCCCAAGTTAGCTTGACCTGTGCTAACCAAACACATGTCTGTGCTAGGACTTCAGGGAAATGCACAGTCAGCATCATCCACCACCTTGTCTGGTGACTTAATCCAACCAAATGCGATGTACTGTGCATGAGAATCAGTGTATGAATATAGTACTGGTATTGCTGGACAAAACCAGCCTGGGCTGGAAACTGAAGAAGATAAACAGATGGAGAGAGAGAGATCTCTTAAGAGGACTCTAACACTTATAAAAGGTAGCAGATAAATAGATGTAAATGTTCAGCAAGGTGGTAAAAGGGAAGTTAAGATGGGTGAGGCCTGGCCTGCTCAGAAACCTCTGCCTTGCTCCGTGAAATAGAGGCTGCGTCTATGTGTTGATGGCTAAGGCTCTTACATCTGCAGAGCTCATTGCAGACATTGCTTTAGACCGCAGCTGCCCTTTTCCCCAGGCTTCACACTGCCGTCCTGTGCACAGCCCTGTGTATCACGTGGTCTCACCATGTCGTGATACATGATCCTGTCACACTTACCTGGAGCATGCTGTCTTTTTTTACATAAGTGCAGTCCTGAGGACCTTAGTGTTCATCACCCGTCCCTTCCTTCCTCTGTAATTTACCAGCAGGTAAGGGAAGAGATTTGTAGCATGATCCTTCCCCCTTCCCAATCTCCTGTCAGGTACTGTCTTTCAAAGTGACAGAAGTCGGTATTTACCTCTACAGTCTTGGTTCCTGGTGCATCTTCCAAGATAAACAAAATGGATATAAACAGTAAAAGAAAGGGGATAAGTGTTTTGGTTTATTTGAATAAATAAAGAAATGGGCTAGATAGTTTTCCCTCAGAATAGCTTTGCAGCTTCTGACTTCTCCCAGCCCATCTCCTTTTAGTATCTATGATCAGAATGCCCAGACTCCCCGCACAGGTTTCTTTTCTCCTGAGTCTCTAGGAACTGAACCTGCCCTATTTGTTCCTGCTCAGGCAACTTCAGTAATTAAGGGGCTGAGCTGAGACCCTCCAAGATAGAGTCATGGATGGCCCGGAGGCCACTATGGTGCTGTCAGTCACAAGCCAGGAGAAGAGTCTGAAGTGTCATGAGTGGGAGCTTGTGTGACTGCCTTAGCAAGTTTTCCTCATCTCCTGGGTGTCCTTTTCCCTCCCCCCCACCCTCCTGGAAATGCACCCCACACCTGCATGGGAGCCAGAAGTCATCTGTGATGTGGTCATGACTTGTTTTGAGCCGCCCCCATCCATTCTCATCTCCTTGTGGTGCTATCTTACCACATATCACAGCACCTGGGATCCAGTAGATCATCATCTAACAACTATTGGACACTTACTCTGCCATGCATTGACCTTGGATCTTGGGAAATCACTGTGACAAGACAGACACTGTCCCTACCCCCCCATGGTTTATGTCTATCGGTAAAAGTAACAGTTCTGTCAAATGACAGGCAGTCAGTACAGGCCATAAGAAGGTATTGAAGAAAAGGTTTTCTTAAATGGATGAAGAAATGAATTATTCAGAAGACAGTGGTGCTAGGTAGTGCCCGCTTTGTAAACAGTTGCCTTTCCTGTCTGCATGAGCAAAATCTTAAACTGCTGCAGCTTTGGTAGCTGGTTCTGCCCCCTCCTCGGGTCTGTGAGAGCTGAGCCCTAAGCTCCTGGCCCGGTCCCAAGGTGTGTCTAACCAGGAACTGCATTCAATCACACCAGCTCTAAGAAGTTGGCTTTTTTACTTAGCCTTTTGTTTCTACTTAGTGTACTGGCTGCCCAAGGGCTCGCTGTATGGCAGAGACTCTTAAAAGAGCCCTGTCCATTGTTTGCTTTTCTTTTTGTTTTATCTTTTCTTTTCCTTTTTCTCCCCTCAGCTTTCTCGAAATATGGGCCCCACAATGGAATGCCAAAATGTACTAAGCTTTTTTCTATGGGGCCACCAACCAGCTCGCGAATCATGACACAGAGACTTATTAGTTTTGAGTGCTTGGCCTAGCTTAGGCACATTTCTGGCTAGCTCTTTTAACTTAATTTAACCTGTTTCTCGCTATCTATCTTTTGCTGAGGGGTTTTTTGCTCTTCTTTCTTCTGTATATCTTACTTTCATGGCTTCTCGTGTCTGCTGGCTCACTAGTGGCTGGCTGCCTGGCCTCTTACCCTGGGGTGTGCCTCTCATTCTCCTCTCATTCTTCTTTCCTTCCTCCTGACTTATATTTCCCCTCCTATTTATTCTCTCTGCCTGCCAGCCCTGCCTAGCCTTTCTCTGCCCTGCTATTGGCCGTTCAGCTTTTTATTAGACCAATCAGGTGGCTTAGGCAGGCAAGGTGATACAGATGCAGCACATCTTCACATACTTAATCACATCCTTATATCATTAAACAAATGCAGTATAGACAAAAGTAACATACCTTTACACAGTTAAAATAATATTTATCAGCATAAACAAATGTAACACATCTTTCCATAGTTAAAATAATTTTCTACAACATATGATTCCCTCGGTGGTATCCTGAGGTGGGCATGCTGGTTCCTCTTTCACTGAAAGGTAGGCCAAGGGTTGTAGAGGGTCTTGCCCAAGCTTCCCAGAAGTCCTGGAGCTGACATTCACACCTGCTCAGTGCAGTGCAAGGCACACCCCCTTGCCACTCAGACCCCAGAAAGGATAGCTACTCCAATATCCCCCATGGGCCAATGGGCCTGCCCACCAGTCCCTGGCTTGTTTTGCAGTCCTTCCCTTAGTTACAATCCAGGCTCTCAACTCTTTCTAAATTTGTCTCCTATTCCTCTTCTTAGGTTAAAGATGGTTAGTATTACATTTAAAACAGTCCAGAGCTGTTAGTCAGAGATATGATACCTTAGCATTGGTAAGAACTTGGCCTTACCTGGATTCTGCCATCTTAGAGCTACTGAGAAAGTCCTGGCTGTAGGAGTCAGCTGGTTCTCTCCTCTGTTAGTGCTCCCTGGCCACCCCTGCTCAGCTCTGTAGCAGCATGTATCTGTTGGCAGGCCTCCAAAGAATGGACAGGCATCCACACTGATAGACAGCCCCTGGGAACTGTAGCAGTCAAAGTAGGATTCCCAGAGTAGTAAAAATGGAGAGTCCAGGAAGAACCTAGCCACTTTGTCAACATCAAATGAACCAGCTATATATTTTAGGAGCCTTTTACCCTATATTGAGTGTTTGTGCACTCAGGAACCCCATGGTGCCTTCTAACACCATGCTTCAGTGGCTCCACACCTTGTGGAGGTCAGAGGAGGCAGCTTGACATCAGGATGGGAGTTTGGATTTGGGGTGTGGATTCTTCCATTTGCAGCATGGAAAAGACCCTGACCTTGTCACTACATGTCACGGAGTCTCATTCTCCTCTTCCATGGAAAGGGCCCAAGTCAATGCAGCATTGATGAGAGGATTGTGTGCAGCTTCCAATGCCACCTTTGTGATCCTGACATTACTGTTGGACCTGTGTCACCTTTCTCTTTCCCTCCCAGGTCACCGATGAGGAGCCCAGTTCCAACCACACTGTCATGATCCAGGAGACTCTGCAGCAGGCCTCCGTGGAGCTAGCCGAGCAGCACCATCTGGTGGTGTCCTCTGATGACGTGGAGGGCATTGAGACAGTGACTGTGTACACACAAGGCGGGGAGGCCTCAGAGTTCATCGTGTATGTACAAGAGGCTGTTCAGCCCGTGGAGGAGCAGGTTGGGGAGCAGCCAGCCCCAGAACTCTAGAGGACCCTCGTCTCCTTCAGCAGCCTTGGCCTTGTGGGCACTGGGGACCACCTAACCTTGCCTACTGGCCCAGATGGTGTTCTCTACACTGTCCTTGTGTGAGCAAGGCCAGTGCATCACCAGCAATACAGAACCCCCATCCTCAGCACAAATCACACCCCTGTCCCAGCATCCTCTGTTTCCGGAAGACTTTTACATCAACTGTCCTGCCCTGCCCCTTCCTTGCTTCTGGATCCAGAGAATCCCATCCCCATCAGCATCTTCTTTGGTTACAGCCCCAGCCCTTTGCTCCCCAGCCTCACCCCAGGTGCTCCTCCTCCTCTGGGCCCTCTGTGCTATCTGTGAAAGGGAGACAGACACCACACAGCAAGTGGCCTTACGTATTTGAAGTTAACCACTGGGTAGGGTGGGTAGGACCATCCAAGAGCTCTCCACTGAGCCCCACCCTCCTCAGTGCAGGAGCGCTGGGAACAAATGACTGACCCCTCACTCCTCTATCACAAGGGCCCAGCTTGGAATTCTGTATGCTTTTAAAATAAATGCATTTTCTCTCTTCACCTCTCATTCAGGGAGGTGGGAGAAATAAAAGCATTTTGTGCCTATTCCTCATCCTTCTTAGGGGGTGGTTTGCACTCCTTCTACCCAAGTTCCCTCTTCCCAGTGGAACTGTGTACAGGGGTGCAGAGACAGATGCACAGACAGTGGCACTTCCTGCTGGCATCCTGGGTACCCCTCACCTCACCCCACAGGACCCTCTAGTGCTTCAGCAGGAGGTCAAGCAATGTCTTGGCACCAGGAGATGAGAGAGTCGGTTGGCCTGGCCTCAGAGGAACAAAGGACCCTCTGTTTGCATGAGTTAGTTAGAAGCAGTGCTGTGAAAGGGCCGTAGGCCTTGCTGTGGGGTCATGGTGGGAGAGCAGCTGGGCTGACCCCTGTCACCCGGTGTACACTAGACAGTGGACAAAGAAAATTTCCACTTTGATCCAGAGTGGGGGTAGCTGCAAAGGGAAGGTGGGAAAGATTATCCATAAATCAGCTCCACAAAGTGGGGGGGGGCTCCTGAAGAGACTAGGGGTGGCCATTTGATAGACTGAGGTGGGAGGGTCAGCCAGTGTTTGAGGAGCCTCCTGTCCAAACAAATGTCTCTAGATATGGCCAGCGACCAAAGTGGAGGCAGAGAATCTGTCCCAGGTCTGGTCCTGTCATCCTCACCTTCATCCAAGTGTCCTCAGCAAGTTGCTAGAGTTCTCCTCCAGGTTCAGTTACCTCTGAATGAGGATGATTGCTTATGGACAGACTCAAGTGGGTGCTGAACCTTGAGAGGCTTTGACCAAGGCAGAGACCTTGGCTCACACAGGAAGCATCCATTGTTGTTTATATTCCTAGGGATAGGAGGAATATCAAACATCCTTCAGCTCTTCCCTGAGAAGGGTTTGATGAGAAAGAGAGATGTGGATGTAACAGGAGGCTCTGGGGCATTCCATGCAGTAGGAGGCACCCCCTACCCCCCACCCCCCACCCCCATTCCAAGCAGACTTTCCACAGTGCTGACCGGATAGAGACACTGAGGTCTTGGTGTTCCTGGCTATCTATATCTTTGTGGACATCCAGGATGGACAGAAGGGTGGATGCCTCACAACTTTCTTCCTGGACTGATTTTGTAAGACAGGTGGAACATGCCAGTGGTAATAAAATACAGCTTTTTCCTACCTCTCCCTTTGGACCTCCTCACCACCATGGCTGTGTTAGATAGGTTTTTGGCCCAACTTGTATTTTATGTCTGTTTAAGATATAACTACGAGGGCTGGAGAGATGGCTTAACAGTTAAGCACACAGACTGCTCTTCTAGAGGACCTGGTTTCAGTTCCCAGCACCCACATGGCAACTCACACCTGCCTGTAACTCGTTCCAGGGCGTCTGACACCCTCACCCAGACATACATGCAGGCAAAACACCAATGGACATTAAATAAAAATAACTGGAAGGCTGACTGGACCCTGCCTTCGGGCTTCCTTTTCTGTTAGGTGTGTGCTTGGCCAGATCTTGATGCGTTACGGCATTTTGTCTGCCCACTTCCTGTGGCTCTGTAAGGTCAGACCATAGGTGCTTCCATGGTGCTCACCAGTGCCAGTGGCACAGCTGGGCTTTGTCTCAGCAGCAGCCCAGTGAATTGGAGCCAGCAGTAGATTTTTAGTGATGGGGAATGATAGAATCGAGAAATTACTTAGAGTCTGAATCTGCTACATGGTGCTGATAATGAGTTTGAACAAGAGCCAGTGGAAGAAGAGAAGCCCATGACCAGTCTGAGACCAGACACAGACAAATCAGTCAAGAGTATCTGTGGTACCTGGGACTGGGCTACAGGAACAGTGTCGTGTTGGGCAAGCCTGAAAGCTACTAGCTCTGTTCTCAGATGCCCTGAAACTCTTCTGATGTCATCTACACTGCCTGTCACTCTGCGGCCAGGACTTGTTCGCCAGGCTCATGTAAGCTGGTGTTTGGACCAGACAGGAACAGCCCCATTTCCCTTCTCAGCAGGCATATGGCTTTGGTTGGGTGAGCCCTTTCGCTCCCTCACTGGTGCTTGGGGGTGATGAACTAGAGAGTGTCCTGAGGTACACACAGCTCCTGTTGCATGCCAGCCTGGGAGATGCTCACTATCCTGAGGTCAGTCCTCGTGATGGCACTGGGAAGGGTGGGTGTGTTTGCTTCCTTCCATGGTGTGCAGACAGAAATGTCCATAGAATGAGAGCATGAGGAATAGTCTCCAGGGAAGAGCTCCCAAATTGCTTCTCTGTTAACAAGTGGTCAGCCCTAAAATCATATACATACAAGCAGCATTATATGAACTGAGCCGGTTACATTTGTATATTTAGAAACACGCACAATAACAACAATAACATGAACACAATTAAGGAAATAGGGACCGTGAATTTCAGATAGAACAAATGGGGCATACCTGGGAAAGGTTGGAGAGAGGAAGGGAAAGGGGAAAATTACATAATTATATTTTAATTTCAAAAAAATAATTTTTTAAAAAAGAACAGAGGAAACCCACTGAGTAATGCTTGATGTGCTCAGCAAGTGTTGGGCAGAGGGCGACCCTGCTTAGCTGTGGACATGGTCTCCCACCTGGCTGAGGACTCTGAGCTGCATTGATCTGCATTTCATGCTTGGAGGTGACAGTGACTCATTTTTTAACCTGTATCTACAAGACTAATTTAGCAAATTAATTTCTCTTGTACCAGCTATTTAAAATTCATTAGCTTTTGTGGCTGACGACTTTCTCCTTGCTATTCGGATCTGTCTTTCAAAAAGGCTGGAGCAAAAAGACCATGTGGTGCTAAGCCCGCTCCCTGCCATGTCCCTTTGAAAGCTTCCCAGTGAATTGTCCATGCCGTCCCTGGAAGCACCCTAGTGCTACATCAGTCTTTTCCAAATGGTAATAATTTTAAGTCCTACATGGATGTCTTTGGGAATCGATCAACTAATACTTTGCTGGAGAAGAAAAAAAAGGAGGGGCTCTTCTGAGGGAACTTAACTTACCATGTACCACAAAATTTTCTAAGTAAATTATTTTGGAGTAAACCCAGCCCCCTTCTTCGCCATGACAAGGACATGTTTGGGTTTGATTTAAAAAGTGCTCGTCTATCACTGTCACCATTCTGGCCGTAATTTAAAGCTTCGGTGGCTTGTGGTAGATAACAGTTGTTACACTCCCTGCGGGCTAAGAAGGCAATGACAGCTTGGTATATTAAACTACCACAAAACAGACAAAAGAGAAAAGTAAGGTCTATGGGGACAGAGGAGGCTGTGACAGGCCAGAGTCGCCTGGGGGAACTGGGTCCAGGACAGTAGTGCTTGCCACACAGCTCTTGGTCTTGATTCTTGTGGCCACACCTCTCTCCTAAGTGCTTCCAGTCATATCTGAGAGGCACAGACACTTGGACAGTAGCCCTGCCCTAAGGGTGAGCCACCTCTCAAGGGGCCCCCTAGTGAGGAAACTACCCAACTTACTCCTTGCTTTCTGTTTTTCTCCCCAGCCAGGACATACACAATTTTCCTGTGCTCTGTGCTCTTACCATGATGTACTGTCTCACCACAGGCACAAAACCACGGGCCAATTCATCAGGTGCTGGACCCCCCCCCTCCCACACACACACACAAAGCTGGGAGCCAAATAAACCTTCCGAGTTCTTATCTCAAGTATTGTGCTATAGTGACAGAAAGCTAACCCATTTGATGACATAAAGCCCCACTTTCATAGGTAGTGCCTTCAAATTGGGTCCTTCGTGGCAAGAGGATGAATAGGCTCCTTTTAAGTCTTTTCTAGAAAACACTGACCCTCCCTGTCCATGTGGGCACAGGCTTTATGGGCTTATCACCACTTCCTAATAGCATCACTTTAAGAGTCAGGATTTCAAACTGGAATTCAATCACAGCAGTGAGCTATTACACTACCAAACCAGTTCCAGAGATGAGAGTACATGGAAAGTTCATCACGTCACATCTGTCACCACCACCACCACCACCACACACACACACACACACACACACACACACACACACGTATAGAGATGAGAGACCATGTGAGGGAAATGTGAATGAACACATCGCATCCAAGTGTGTTCTGTGTGTGCAAGCAGGCTTAGTGGACAGCAGACACAAGAGCAGCGAGTATGCAGATGCCCCCCTTTGGACCCATTGAGGAGCTGTGTATCCCAGTGAGGGTCTGGGGAAGCCTTGTCCCTGCCATTTCATTCTCATGCTGCCTTTAGTTCTTGCTGCTGCTGACCTTACCACCTTTTGTCAGAACAGGACAAGGGAGACTTGGAAGAGGGCTTTAGAAAGCCACCCCCCACCCCCCAGCCCCCCCCCCACCCCCCCCCCCCCACTGCAAGGACCAGCCCTTCCCACTGTGGGGCTCCACAGAGGTACAGCTGTTCTTCCTTTGGTATACATTGGGCATCAGGAGCCTCCAGAAGGAAAACATCCAGAGCCGTAGACACTGTTGATCTGGATGTCTGTTCCTGACCCTCTGAGATGTCACTACTAACCCCAAAGTGCCTTGTTTCTTTGCAGTGAGCAACAGTTTTATTGGAATATTCGCAAACCTAAGGCTGTTGTTCCCTCCATGCTTTTATATTCTCCAGTGCCAAACTTCCGTTCTCATAGGAGCTGATCATGTGATACCCAGAGGGACTGCTGTCCACAGAAGGGAACACTCCAAATGATCTGGCTCCCTCAGTGACTGTTTCTACACTCTCGAACTGTACATATTTAGTGAAAGTAATTTCAGGTAGGTGAACTTGTGTGAGTAGGAGGCTGTGAATCAGAAACCCTTGGGTGGGAAGAGTGTTAAGTGTCTTGTACTTGCACCCAGCCCACTTAGCAGGGACCTTATCTATGGGAGGCTGGCCAGAAAGATGATCAGAACGCAGTGTGTATTCTGCTGTCCACATCCAGTTCACCTAGACAATGTCTTAAGCTGCTCTCCAGAGGACAGGATTCTGGATGAGCAGAAGGTAAAATTTGTACCCACCATCATGCCACTCTATCCACGAGGGGTGTTACAGGCTGACGGAAGGGAA